TCTTGAATAAAAATTTATTACAAAAAATCTGACATAAAATCATCATCATCATCATTATTAATTCTTACATAAGGTCCTATGTAGCATCCTGTATAGGATTTTTTGTATGATCCTATATAAGATCATACATAAGATTTTACATGGATTTTTATATATATTCCTGTATGATGAATTCTTACATTAGATCCTATATAGGATTTTATGTAGTCCTACCAAAAAATAAGATTTTCTACAAAAATGTTTTTGTAAATAACGTAATTATAAAATCAAATAGAAATAAATAAGTAAAATTCTTTCTTTAATTTTGTGGTTTTGTATGTTCTAAAACAATCCTTATATTATTTACAGATAAATTTCGGTTAAAGTTTAATTTCACACACCGAAATGTGTGTGTAAAGAAGCTCTTTTTAAAAGGGTGTGTAAAGTGATTCACTTTAAGCACGGAAATTTATTTTACGCACCGAAATTTATCTCACATAATATAAGGATTGTTTTAGACCATACAAAACCACAAAATTAAAGAAATAACTTTACTTTTAAATTTAGACACTACTGTTTAATGATATTTTTCCTGATCTTCCATTGATTTTTTTAATTCTATTCAATCGAAATTATTCTAATAGAGAGGTGGAATTCTGTATAAAAGGTACTTAACTTTAGAGGTGGGTGCTGCAAAAAATATTGTATGATGATACACGATAAATCTTATTATACTCGTGTCACACTCGTATAATCACTCACTTTACGCACTTGTATCATAAATAACTATTTTAGTTTTCTCTTCGTCATGCAAAGCGTATTTGCGTATTTTAACGGTAAAAATGTTGTTTTTAATTTTAGTTGACATTTGTGACATTGTAACGATCCATATCGTTTTCTATCTCCTCGGATAAATATGCCGTTCCCGGCTGTTTCCCTACTTCCTAATTTCTAGCGCCAGCCGTAAGCCTCAAGCCTACGACAATTATCGGTCGTTAACCGAATCATATATTCGGGTGTCATCGTGCCATATACGAAGGATGTCATGGGTCACCATGGCGATCGCGGTCGATCCTCTCATCAGAGAGAAGCGAGACTTCTTACCGTAGAAGCATCTTCCGTCACGATTTTTCGCGCGTAATCGATGTGTTGCATAGCATCTTATTAAATTGTTGTATACTCGCATTTCATTTTATTAAATGTTTTATTTGTTCAATATAATATTTAGTTTATTTTGTTTATATTGTGTTTACACATTCCAAGAATTATCCTACAGGAACTCCGATGTGCGCCACAGCGATTCGACGATGTGCGAAATGGTAAGTTCGATCAATCGATTTTTATTTCTCATCTGGATGGAGTCGTCTCGGATCAATTGCTCGCAGCTGCTCATTTAACTGCGTCGTAGGTCGAATTGCCTTTTTAAGTTTTGGATTTCGCTTAGATTTTCGCTCAATTTATTTGTATCGGCTATCGCGAGCCGAAACCCCACTTTCTATTTAATTTAAAATATCTAAAGTCTCGCGAAGTTCGTTACAACCTGTAGGCTGCACGGGGCGAAATCAAAGATACAACTTTAAACGCCTGTAACGTCGCCATTTTGGAATATTTTTTAATAAAAAATTTTTTTTACAAAGCTTATATTGTATACTTTAAGGTATGCTTTACTTCAATTCAATAAACTTTACCAATCTTTAAAAAAAATTCCCGAAAAAACGCGTATTTACACGATTTTCTTGGCACTTTTTCTATTTTACCTTTTAATGCATAAAAAATAGTAAGTTAAATCAACGCACTAATTGTATTTTCGCGAACATTACAAGCTAGTATCTACGTTAGAGAAAAATAAAAAAATCGTAATTTATAATTATTTATTATTAAAAGTCGCCAAATGATGTTATTTGATTGTCGGACTTTAAAATCACATTTTAATTATTTATTAAATATTCAACTACTTTAAGCATTAAAAACTAATAAAGTTAATCATTCTTAAAAAACACCAATAAATTATTTTTGAATTTCACAGAATTATTCTGTTTTTTAATTTATTTTCTATGTACTAAAAGAGTGATAGTTTTTTTAACTTCCTATTCTATAAAGTCGTATTTTAAAAGAAACAATAGAAAATTTAAAATAATTTTTTTATTTTATACTCCAGATACCTTACAGAATCATTTAGTATAGTAATTAAGATATTGATTATGTATTAATTAAAAAAAAATTGTACACAACCACTTTAGTCGAAATATAATAAAGGAATTATACTCAAAGGACATAATTTACATTTAAATTTATTATTTAATGGTCCTCTAATTAAAAAATTGTTTTACATAACTCTGTCTTATTATGACAGTAATTTAAGAATCTTAGGTTGTCTTTAATTCTTAATAATCGTCGATCACCTTCTATAAACAATTTTTTCTTTACAATTGTATCGACAATATTTTTGTAGAAATCCTAAAATAAAAAATTTATGTACAAAATTAATATATTTTTTGACAATTTTTTAAGTGTCTTGTAAATTTACGTATGTGAAACAAAATTTTTTTAAATAAATTACCAGCATATTATCCTTCATATAAAGCATAATTTTTGCAACAATCTCAATCAACATATTCCAAATTAAAAATGATTTCTCACGTATACAATACGATAAAAGTTTGTAAAAATTTTCTTTTGATAATTTTCCTTTAAGATAAAACCAACCAGCGTCGTCCAAAATTCTAAGTCTATTTTTGACATGAATTTTCGAATACTTCTTGGAATTCATGAAATCTATTATTTGTTGCCAAGTAGTTTCGTCATAATTAACTCGATAATACCCTGAAAAATATGTTTATATTATTAAATTAATACAAATTTTTTGTAAATATTTTTTGGGAATGAAAATTTTTATTATTTTTAGAAAAAAGTATATTGATTGTAGAGTACCATTTTGCTGTATGTTGAAAATAATCCAATCATTCATACTAACATTATTAATGATTAATTCATTCATTGAAGGAGTAAAAAGATTCATAGTTTGTGAAAAATTAAACTCAAGTAAAGATTCTGTTGTATAAGTTATTGGAATTGGCCATTTTAGATCCGTGGAATTATTCTCTTCACATACATAACATTTTTGAGTCAATTTTATAATTCCTGTTGCATTATCTCTAAATACATCGATAACTGGATATCCAACTTGTGTAATATAAGGCATTATTAATGATTTGACATCCAATGAGTCGTATTTACCCCGTAAATAAGTGGAATTGTTCACAGATTCTTGAATAGTTTCAAAAAACTGATCAGTTGAAATTGTACTAAATTGGCTATTTTTGTAAAGTATTATTTTGAGGTTAATTATGAATTTATTATATTATTTGATATTTAAATACTTTGAAATTTAACAATAGATGATTTCTTTTTAATCAAAATTAAATATTAGTCAAAATTGAGAAAATTCGACTATGTTAATATACAGGAAATTTGGAAAATTTAATTATACGAAAAAGAAAACATGAATAAACAGTTGAAATTTTTTTTTATAAGAATATTTTCACGACTACCTAAAATTTAGTAAAGGATTTACTACTTAAAATTTTTAATTACACAATCTTCTCTTGTTTATAAAATTAACCATATATCCTGTTTTATTTTTAAAAATGATAAATAAAATTAAATAATGATTTAATTGTCATTTTTTGAAACAAATAATTTGTAATTTTTTTTAATAAATTAAAAATTACTAAAAATTACTTACTATTCTTTTAAAATTTTCTTGATTCCTTTGTTTAGAACCTGTCTGCTAATTATGCTGGCTAACATATTAAAAATTATCGGCGCTATAAAATGGAAATAAAAGTTTATAAAAGTTACAAAAAAATTAATAAATTTTTTTTTTTAAAGCTAGTTTATGTTTTAAAAATATTTGAAAGGAATATTTGACAAGAAATCATATATGTGCGATGCTTTACGATAAAAGGAACCTTAAATGAAAAAAATTTTATATTATGTTTAGTGATAGTTTTAACTTGAACTAACGTTCATTTTTAGTGATGCATAAAATCAAAATCAGTTTCTTTTGAATATTTCGGATCTAATGATGACATAAACATTAGTAATTTGTATTAAGAATTGATCCTCTTTGTATATTTTTAATATAAAAATTACAATTTTAACCTATACAATTTTATGCAACTAAGTTTCCTTTTTTTGTAGAACGTCATATATTACTTTCTTCTAACGAAAATTCTAAAGAAATTGTTGTTCTTTTTTGAGCTTATAGCACCTAAAATTTCAGCAATATTGCAGATACTAATGAAGTTCTGGGGAATATTAGAATATTGAGAAAATGATGCCAATATTGCTGACAGTTTAGGAGTAATGTGGGCCTAAAAATAGTTACACACGTGTTAATGATTTTTAATATTAATTAACTGACATTTAAAATAATGTGTTGTAATATCATGAAACATATTAGATGCATTATTTATATTTTGATGAAGAGGTTGGCAAGTTCGATGTTCTTCATGTAAGAAACTTCCCCGCAGCTTTTGATAGAAGATTTCTGTCTCAGTATTCTCTTGTACTCCCTTCTATGTAGTAAAAAACAGTAAATATTTCTTGTTAAAAAGCTTTTCCAACGACCCTTCTAAGACTATAAAGGCATTATTATTATGGAAGGATTGACTCTAGAAAGGTGTCAGTTTTTGCCTTCAAAATTAAACCGACCGAGATAGAAATTTTTTATTATTTATATTTTATTTCATTTTATGCATACCTTGTGAAAAACTAAAGTTTCATAATAGGTTGGCAAACCCTCTGTTATCCATAGGTCCGACCACCATGCAGGTGAAACTAGATTTCCTATCCATTGATGAATTATTTCGTGACATATAGTTTCTCCGATATAATTTAATATTTTATTATCAGTTTTATTGTCAAATAAAAAATCTCTTTCTCTAAGAAAAAAGATTTCTTTATTTAATAAAATCCCATCAGTGTCAAAGTGATTCGTTTCTTTAATAACTAAAGTTAAAAAAAACATGTTACGCTATCTTTTTTACTTATATTTTAATAAAAACAATTTTTTATTGAAACTTTTATGAAAATGGTTTATAAAGTACTGCGGGAAGTACTTGAAATAAATAAATAAAACTTCATAATTATTTACGTGATTTGAATTAATCCCCAATTTTGCGTTCCGCGAATGTGAAAATCTTTCACAAGAAATATATCCATTTTTGGAAGGGAATATGGAATATTGGTGAAATTTTCAAAACTTTTCATTGCGTCAACTGCAACTTTAAATCCATATTGAATTAGATCATCAGCAACATTTCTTCTCGTCCAAATGGAAAAGTTCTTGTGTTGATTGGTTATCTCATAAAATCAGAAACCGTGAATGCCACTGTGTAAGTAGATAATAATGGTGTTTTTTCAAATTTCGTCCAAATTTTTCCATTATCCATATGTATTGGTTTGCCTTTTATTGCCGGCATATTGGAGAGAGCTGTATAATTTGAGTAGTGTTTTATAGCAATCTTAAAAGAGGCTTTTAATGCGGGTTCATCCCAACATGGAAATGCTTGTCGAGCAAAAGTTGGTTCAAATTGTGTTAGTGCAAAATATCTGTAATTTTTCTAATGTTAATAAGTGTAAAATGGGGCAGAAAATCAACTATTTTCTAAAAATAATGAACAATTCTTTAAAATTGACTTACGTTGTGTCATTTTTTTCGTCAATATAAGAATTTTTATAGAATCCAGTTTCACTATTACTATTGAAATATCCATGAAATGATAATTTAAGCTTATATTGTCCTGGATGTAAGTCATATTCAAAATTAATTATCAAAAATTCGTGAACTTTATCCAGTGTATGATTTACAGGTATAAATTGATTTTTTTTACTTTTTAAAATAGTTTGCGAAGTGTCTATTGTTAATTTTGATGCGTGTAGGGTCAAATTATTCGTAGTACTAATAACATCTATCAAAATAGAAACTGACCCTTCAAAAGTTCCATTTTCAGCACTTAAATCAGGATTTAAGAATAATTTATAAGTAAGCGGTTTTACATTGTTAGGTAAACGATACTTGTCTGATTGTTCAAATATTGCCAAATTAGAAATGAGAAATATCCCAAAAACGTATAAATTTGTTGACAGCATATCAAAACTTTATTCCTCGATATTATGCAGTTACTGTGTAAGAATAAATATTTTGTGCTAATTATCAAAACAAAATTGTACGTTTGAAAATTAACTTTATCGAAAAAGGAGATCTTCAATTTTAAAAATTTAAGTAAAACTAAAAAAAAACAATTCATTTAAAAAAATATATGAAAACTTTAGAGTATAAAAAAAAAATATAACCTTGTTTAATAATTTTAAATTTAAGTGGGTCAAAATTGGAGGTGGTGCCTCCCTTTAATAATCCTTTGTTTATTTTGTTGACGATTATATATTTAACATTTTATTAAATTAATGTATTTATTTGTAATATGTTACAGTTTCGGTTATGTTTAATTCTATTTATTATTTACTTTTCGACAGCAGATAGACTTTACAGAAATATAATCCTTTTACAAAACTATAAAAAAAAATTTTAAAACAATAAAAAATTATTTTAAATCTCTGTAGAACAAAAATGACATATAAAAATTAATATTACAATTAAACTTACGGGTTATAATATCATGTTAGAATTAAAGAATTAAAATAATTCATTAAAATTAAAAAACCACTCAGACAGAATGAAAATTAAATGGTTACCGTTGGAACTAGTGGATTATTTAGAAATAAAACTTTGAATTTCAAAGAAAAAATGAATCAATAAAAGTTTCTTTGATACTGAAATATTTTTCAATATTTGAATATATCAAACTAAATTTTATTCATTTTTTATGTTCAGAGTTGTTAAATGATAATTTTTAATATTGTTCGACAAACAGATATTTTTCAAGGCTTCAGTTTTTTACACGTGCCTTTTTACTGCTTTAAAATTTTTAACATTTACTAAATTTTATTAAAAATGTTAGTTTTTTTGCATTTAACTCATTAAGACCCATATATTACACAGCGATTCTAACGCCCAACCAACTATTAGATTTATAGCATAACCGAAAAAATTACCCTTATTTTTTCTATTTGCAAAATAATTTAATCGATTTTTAAAAAACCAGTAACGCCATTCAAAAGAACGCGGAAAAATAATCAACTTTTCGAGTCGGTATCAAAACTACACAAGAATTTTCATAAAAAACTTATATTGTACAAAACATAAAAATTGTTATTTTTTACATTATACTTTTTTAATGTTGTTTTTATTTTTTGTAAATTTTAACTTTTTTTTAAATGAAAAAATTTTTTTTTTATTTGTTATTTTGTACATTGAATTTTTTTTGTTTTTTCTTAACGTTATTTTTTTAGTTATTTTTTACATAATTTTTTTAGTTATATTTTACATAATTTTTTTTGTTATTTTTTACATATAGAAAAAAAATTTTTCGTTATTTTTTTGGGGCGGTTTGAGGTGCCCACAAACTGAATGCATACATTGAAACTGTATATAAGCTGCATTTACAAGTACAAATTAATTTTAACATTAATTCGTTTGCAGTTTAAAGTTTGGGTCAGTTGGGGTAAATGGGGACAAAATCCCTATTTTTCACAAATTACGTAAGTTGCTTCCTTTAAAAGGTAATATTTGCTGATTTATATTTTTTTAAGTTGTTATTTACATTCCCATAGGATTAATTTTATGCAGCAGAAATAAATTTAGATAAGCTTTAAACGCATGAAACTGACTGTCCTTATTTACAATAAGATTTAAAAAAAAATTTTAAATTTGGGGTAAATGGGGACAGCATAGTTTCTATGAATTGCCTATTTCCAAAGTTGAATCAACCTTTATATCTACGTAACTTCTGTAATTTTTCTCCACGATACTGTAACCTCTCTAGGTATAAAGTGGTTCATGACCTGTCACACTGATTTTAAGTTCAATAATAATAAAAGAGGATTGTGATGAGAAACATGTCAACGAAAAGAAAAATGGACCAGGAGATAGTTTTTTATCTTCCTTGGCCATTCTCACAAAATCTCTCACAATGTTTTCTCTTTTAATTTTTTTTAAATTTTATTTTATGCTTTAAAAAACAGAAACACTTGTAAGTTAACCTAAAAATTTTTTTGTTTTCAATTTTGTTACAATTTATTCTAATTATATTTTAGTTTATATAAAAAAATATTATGTATTTATAGGTTTATAATTTACTCTGAAGAAGGCACTCAACATGTGCCGAAACGTCAGAATTATGTATGTCTAATGCTTAATTTGATCGTACGACCAAAAAAATAAATTATATTTGGATTCTGAATTTTTTTTCTTATAACCTGTCTTTATTAGAGTTCGGTGGCATTGATGAAATGAGATCCACGAAAATATATTTAAAATAACATTTAATGAGATAATTGGAAATTATACAGAAAAAGAAATGTCTGACTTTACGTTTCGAGTTAGAGAATTGAACTGTGTGTGTGTCAGTGTGAATTAAAAGTGTTTCTAAAAGGCGATAAAGAACTCCATCTATATAATATAAAAGTTTCAATTTGAATTAAGAACGCGAATTGATCGCTCCAACACTCTCCCTCAATTCGCGACCGGTGATGATGAAACCAATTTAAGTCCAAAGCCGGAAATACACTTCGAAAATTTTGGTCCAGGAAGGCCCTTAGTGAGAGCATCTGCAATCATCTGATCCGTGGGTAGGTACTCGAGGTAAACTGGATAATCCTTCAAAACTTGGCGGATAAAGTGATGTCTCACATCAATGTGTTTCGATATAGAGTGGTACACAGGGGTTTTCGGCGAGCTTTCCAGCTGTTTGATTGTCATTGTAGATTGTCAGCTTAGCAAATTTCGATAAGCGTAGATCCATGAGAAGACGAATGATATATACAGCTTCTTTTGCCGCGTTGGAAATAACCATGTTTTCGGCCTCGGTCGATGATAGCGCAGTTGTGCGCTGCTTTTGCGATTTCCATGAGATAGCTGCTCCTCCAAAAATGAAAATACAGCCTGTATAGGACCTTCTATCAATTGTACAGTTGGCCCAATCGGCGTCGACAAAGGAGCTTAAAGGCTTCGAATCCCTTTGAAATTTGAGTCCCAAATCCTTGGTTCCTTGGAGGTACCGGAGAACTCGTTTGGCGGCGGTCCAATGTGCTCGTTTCGGATTATGACTAAATTGTTCTTTGACTTCATTCTCTCTCTTCTTGTTTTTCCAAATGATCAAGATGTCATCGACATATATTAAGACGAAAAATAGTTTTTTTTTGTCGGTGTACACGCATGGATCTGAATTTGTTGGTGTCAGTTTAATGCTTCGGAGGACAGAGTCGAGCATCGTGTGCCATTGTCGACCTGACTGGCGTAATCCCTATTGGGATCTGAGATGGGGGCGGGGCCTAAAGCAATATGGCATAAATTGGGTAACACTTTTAGTGAATTTACATGGGAATAACATGGGATGCAGAAAATGTTCATTTCTATGGACAGTATTTGCGCATGGGCAGGTACAAATCCTGCTCAACGAAAATTTATTGAAGGTGAACGCGTTTTGCAAGCCGGGCACATTATAAAGTGTGGTGTAAATCGTGTAATTTTGGTTTTGGTTTCGGAAATTTATGGAAAATTACGCTTAAATTTTTTGCTACAGTACTGCCACAGCCTCTCACAGAACACTTAATTCTGCAGGAAGATTTCTCACGCGGTAAAAATGTAGCTTCATTCATAATGATAAAATAATTAACAATCACAGCGGAACTACAATTGCAAGTGACACAAACAGTTATCCAAAACTAGTTACATTTTTCAACACCAGATGGCATGTGTACGAATGTCAGATCCCAATATGGCGTTTTTGAGTTTGCACACGGAAGAAGGTGTCTTCAATTGATTCAGCATTTCCTTGCAGCGATGTAAAATCGTAGGATCATTTTCCTCGGACACAATTCGTCGAAGCATCTTGGGCAACATTTCCGGCATCTGCATGTATACATCGGTGTCCATTTTTCTATTTAGGTAGGCGGTCTCGATGTCCAATTGGGTCACATGAAGGTAGAATTTGGCTGCCACTGCTATCAGCGATCTGAGGGAACTAAGACGAGCAACGGGAGCGAATGTTTCAAAGAAATGAATACCTGGTTGCTGCGCGAAACCCTTGGCCACGACGCGCGCTTTCCTCCTTTCAAGCTCTCCATCAGGTCCGTTTTTATTCCTGAGTACAGTGCGACATTTGATGATTTTCTCGTTTGAGGGTCTGTCCACCAAATCGAAAGTGTCGTTTGATACCAAACTTTTAATTTCGTCGAATATGGCATCTTCCCACTTGTCACTGTAAGGTCCTGATAATGCTTGTTGGAATGGAACTTCATCCGCGCTCATGACAATTTCGGCACTCTCCCATCCTAAAAAGTCGTCGTCGGTGGAAGAAATCGAATCACGTTGTCGAGATTCCTCCAGTTGATTGTTTTCCCCTATCGTTTCGTTTTGGGATTCCTCTTCGCTCGAGGCATTTCTGGGACATCAAAATCTTGATCCTTTCCTTGATCAGAGAAGAATTCTCTTTCTTGTTCGATGACTGGATTTTCTCGAATGATTTTCGTCGAAAATTTGTCCATAAATTGCACATCTCGCGTGATACGAATTTTTCTTTCAGCAGGAACCCAAATTCTATAAGCTTTTGCGACAGTCGAGTATCCAACGAAGATCCCTTCAATTCCACGAGGTTTTAATTTATCCTTGTTAGGCGATTTGTCGAGAAAGAAGACTTTTTTCCGAATTTTCTGAAGTGTCGTATATCAGGACGTCTTCCTGTCCATCTTTCGTGGGGTGTCTCGTTTCCCAGTGGTTTCGTGATACATCTGTTGCGAACATAGCATGTTGAGATAACTGCTTCTTCCCAAAAAGTCAGTGGCAATCCGGAATCAATAAGTAAACAACGCGCTGGCTCGATCAAAGTTCGATTTTTCCGCTCCTCAATTCCATGTTGTTGTGGCGTGTAAGGGGCGCTTAAACGATTACGTATACCGAAATCTCGCAGTATTTGATTCATTCCAGTGTTGATGAATTACTTTCCGTTATCGGATTGAAGCGATTTAATCCTTTGTCCGGTATGCGTTTCAGCGTAGTTTTTGTATTCCAGGAATTTAGCGGTGACGTCAGATTTGTTGTGAATGAAATAAATTTCTGTCCACGGGCTGAAATCGTCCGTGAGAGTCAGCATATAACGAGCACCACCCAGTGATTCCGTCCTCATTGGGCCTCAAAGGTCTACGTGCACGATGTCGAGAAGTGTGGTTGCTCCCTGACTTCCTTTTGGAAATGGAACTCGAGTTATCTTTCCAGCTGCACAAGTATCACATGATGGACGATTGTTGTCAAGTTTGAATTTCATGACCGTCACAGATTCGTTTCTCAACATTTGATTCATGTCGTTTCGATTTAAATGACCCAAACGTATGTGCCATTCAATTTCGTCACTTTTAATGGGACTCACAATACTCACGGAATCGGTCGTTTCGGTGTAAACTAAAAATAAATCAACTTCACGTTTCGCGATAATTTTTAATGTCCCGTCTTTGTCCTTAATATGCGCGTGAGTTTTCGTAAAAAGAACGGTATGATCCTTATCAACGATTTTCGACACTGAAAGCAAATTTGTCCGTAAATTCGGAAAATGAAGCGTGTTTTGAAGAAGAATCGGTTTGTCGATTTTACCATTCGAAGTGGTAATTATCACGTCACCTTTTGCTGTAACATTCGCGGTCGCGTCACTGGCAAGTTTTACTCCGCTTTTAACACTGTGCGAGTTAGTGAAAAGATTCATGTCTTTGCACATATGTGAAGTCGAGCCACTATCAAGGCACCACTTTTCGTTAGTTACGGCATTGAATGACGAATTATCACGGCACTTGTCACTGTCAATAGTGAGAAAAGCTTCGTTCACTGCGTTTGCATTTTGATTTTCGTCCTTCTTCTTCCTGAAACATCGCGATTCTTTGTGATTCGATTGACCGCAATAATTACACAGCCACACAAAAAAAAGTACCCGGGCCGGGGAATGAGACCACTATTTCTAAATGTATTTTGATGCGCTGAACACGAATCTGAAGTCCGTTTAGCTCCATCACGTCAGGATTTTGACATAACCTCAATAAACATAGCTGATTTTAAATGACAGGAGAAATTTTTTAAATAATGGCAGATTTGCTTGAATCTTGTTACTCGGGGGTTTTCGGGGTCGCTGATAACGAATTTAACGTCAGATTTATAAAATTCATAATGGCGGACGAATTTTTAAAAAGTAGTTGGATTTTTACGAAAATTGATATCTAGGGGTTTTGGGAGTCGCTGATTTCAAATTTATCGTCAGATTATTAAATTTCAAAATGGCGGATTTAATATGGCGGACGAGTTTTTAAAAAATAGTTGAAATTTTTATGTAACTTGGCCGATACTGGGTTTCCGAGTCCCTGCATCGTAATTCGTTTCCAATGTGTGTCTGCCGTGACGGCATCAAAGAAAAAGGGTGTGATTTAGCCATTTTGAGAGAAAAAGTGTTCGATGCAATCGTAAAGCGAAAATGCGAACGGGGGACTGCTTCTTTTCTGTCGCCCGAATGAAATTTACACTCGCGACGGAAATTGCAAAAAAAGGGGCGTCTATCAACACGGAACAATATTTTACTAACGTTCACTTAGGTTGATGCCACAAAAAAATCGCGTGAGAGTCACACAGCACTATCGTTGACGAAAGATCTGGAAACGTGTTAGGACGCGTCGGTTACCATTGAGCATCGATTCAATTTGTTTCGATCGCGAATAAACTATTTTCATCAGTAATGTATGCCTGGGCCCATAACCTATTAGAGTTGGGTGGCATTGATGAAATGAGATTCACGAAAATATATTTAAAATAACATTTAATGAGAATATTTGGAAACTATACAGAAAAAGAAATGTCTGACTTTACGTCTCGAGTGAGAGAATTGAACTGTGTGTGTGTCAGTGTGCATTAAGAAAAGGCGTGTTTCTAAAAGGCGATAAAGAACGCCATCTATATAATATAAAAGTTTCAATTTGAATTAACAGCGTGAATTGATCGCTCGAACAGTCTTAATACTTTCGGGCTTTCCAAAATTACCACTTCTCATTTTTGGGCTTAACCCCTAAATCTAAAAATCACCCCTAAGCTTTAAAACAAAAGTGAACTTTGATCTATTTGCAAAATTATTTTTTCTTCTTCTAACTTGTGCCAATATTCTATTTTAGTTAAAAGAGTAGTTTTTGAAAATGAATGGAGCCCAAAAATTGGGATGGTTGTTTTTAGGGAAACCAAAAATATTTGACCCGATTTAGAGGAAGAACTACCGGATTATATTAGTTTTTTTACTTCTGTTTTATTTAAAAGGGTATTTTTTGAAGATTGGGTGGATCACAAAATTCGGGATTGCTGTTTTTAAGGAGCCCAAAAAATTTGTTGACACAATTAAATGAAAGATTTACAGAATTATGTTAATTTTTTAAAACTACGGAATTTTGTTATTTTTGCAAATTTTCACTTTACTTTTCGTAATAGGCGTATTTTATTTAGAAAGTAATTGTCTCTTCATGTCGTGTAGGATCTTTTTGTTAAACGTAAATGTTTTTGATCAATTTGGAAGAGAAGATTATTAATTTAGGGGTGAGTGGGGAGTTGTGCCTCGAGGGGAGTCGTGCTAAATATTTTTAATATGGAAATTAATATGACAAATTTCAATTATTGTCATATTCTTTTCTCGTTAAAAACTAACTTTTGAAGTTGTACTCGTTATTTTTGGAAGCATTTTTCGTGTCTTTCCAGATAGTGAGTTAAAATTTGTTTCTAAAAGTTTTTTTGTCTCTTTATGTTTAGGTCATTCCCACTAAATTTTTCAAAGTGATCACAATGTTTAATGCATAAAAATTAGCTGTTATTAATAAATTTTCGAGGTACTCCAGCGTTAGTAGGGAGTTGTGCCTCACATCATATTATTTAACAGTTTTTAATGCTAATACGCACTCTCTTTTTTATTTTGCATTAATTATGAATAATTAGAATGTTTTAAGCAATTTAAATATTTAAATTTCTTTAGTGAAATGAGACTTTTTACATCTGTATTCACTGTAAATGCAATTAATTTTTTAGCTTAATTCAATTATTTTTAAAATAATTTTATTTTATCTAAATTACCTAAAATTAATCTTTTATTATCTTAAATATTTCTTTATTTTATGTAAGTTATCTTACTTTTTCACATTTCATAATTTAAATAAAGAATATTCTAAAAGATGTGTCTTTTTCTTAAATTTTCAACAGTGGACCACAACTGTGAGAAAACCTGTATTTTATGAGAGAGAAGTGCCTTTTTCCGACTCGGTCAAATATCTAGGAGTGATTCTGGATAAAAAGCTGATCTGGAAAAAGCACTTAGAGTATGAATATAGTAGGTTTTGCACTGCTTTTTGGGTTTGCAGAAGGGCTGTTGGATCATCTTGGGGTCTAAAACCGGATATGGTTCAGTGGCTCTATCGTATGGTCCTGTTGCCAAGGTTTCTGCATGCAGCAATTGTTTGGTGGATTAGAAGCCAGTGGAAAACGGTAAAATTGAAATTTGAACAACTGCAAGCAATGGCGTTAAGAGGGATTACTGGCGCAATGAGAACCACGCCAACTTCTGCGTTAGGTTTCTTACTGGCGGAGGAACCTCTACACATTTTAACGGTTAAAAATAAGTTAAAATATATTATAACTGTACATACTTGTAAATGATAAATTAGGTATTAAAAATAAATGAAAAATATAGTTAGATTTTTGTTTTTATTCGAACATAAAAGAACGACGTTAAAGAAATAATAATAAAAAATTAATAAATCAAAGAGAGTAACTAAAAAAATCAACGATTTTTTTCTAAGTCCCTAAATTTTTTAGACTTATAAAAAAAAGTATGTAAGATTTTCTAAAAGCATATGGCAAAGTATTTTGAGTTATTTGAAAATAAGTGAAAATAGATTTTCCAAGGACGGTGTCGAGGTCGCGGTGTCGCTTTTGGAAATTTGTTGACTGTTGTTGTTGTATATAATAGAATAATAAAAAAAAATTTAAATACAGTAGGACTCCAGTTATCCGAGCTAATGTGGACCGGACCTACCTCGTATAAGGCGAAAATTCGGATAATCCGAATTGTTATTACAATTTAACATTATTATTGTTTAAAAAATTATTATTTATTACATACGGGAAAATAATATTGTATATATTCCATAATAATTTAAACAATTTAAATTTATTAAAAATAAACTCATATTTATAAAAAACTAAAATTAAAAATAACTCGGATAAAGTAGACTAGACTCAGATAATATAGAATTTCCTACTGGGACACCACCTCGGATAATCGAGACCTCAGATAAAGCGAGCTCGGTTAAACAGGGTTTTACTGTAATAGTTTTGATCGAAAAACAAAACCTGGAGCACAACTCCCTACTCTCCGCTGTTCATTGATTGGCAAGTTTACACCTTCACTGATTTTCAAAGGAGTTGTTTTTGTTGAAGGGGTGAGTTTTAAAAATTGGGCATATTTTTTTAGTGGAGCCCAAAAATATAGCGTATTCGATATTTTTAAAATTTTTAGTTTTTACATAGTCCAAAAATGTAGTGCAGTCTGTTATCTAAATTATTTTTGTGAGCACCTCAAAAACAACCATCGTAATATTTGGACTCCGCCCATTTTTCAAAAACTATCCTTTTAACTAAAACAGAAGTAAAAAACATAACATAATTCTGTAGTTCTTCTTTTCAATTGGATCAAATATTTTTAGTCTTCTCAAAAACATCCATCCCGATTTTTGGGCTTCACCCATTTTCCAAAACTACCCTTTTAACTACAACAGAACTAAAAAACATAACATAATCCTGTAGTTCTTTCTCTCAATCGGGTCATATATTTTTGGGCTTCACAAAAACAACCATTCAAATTTTTAGGCTCTACTCATTTTTAGGGAATAAGCCCAAAAATTGAGAGTCGCAATATTGAAGAGCCCAAAAATATTGAAACACGTAAGAAAAAGAAAAAAAAAGCGGAAATAGATCAAAGTTTTCACTTGCGATTAAGGTTAGGGGTTTACTCTTGTTCACTAAGTAATGAATTTCGAACAAATAGGTATAATTTTTGTAAAACTCGTTGGTCATATTGGATGCACTATTTTGAAATTTTGAAAACGGACATCGGATTCGTAATCAGCGACCCAAAAAACCCCCGAGTAACGAGTTTCAAGCGAATCCGATGAATTTATTAATTCGAAAAATAGGAAAATGTAAGTTGCTGATATTAAAAGGGGTTGTTTTTGTTGAAGAGGTGATTTTTAAAAATCAGGAATATTTTTTTTTGGAGTCCTAAAAAGCCCAAAAATCTAGTGTAGTCTGTTTTCTAAATTGTAATTGTGGAGGTGCTGGTTTGATGGACCTACGTTGCTACTACTCGGAAACTCATTTTAAAAAAATAATAAAGTCAAGCGTGAACAAGTGTAAATGTGAACATTTAAAAAAAAATGAAAATGTTTTAATTAGGTTAAGGAATATTTTGATAGCCCTTAATGAGCCCTAAATTTTCCTTGTAGTTAGAGCTTAGTAGGAATAGTGATAAAGAAGGTATGCGTGGTTCAGGCCAGCTTCAATGTGAAGCTGGCAGGAACCTTAATTTAAGAAATAAATTAAAAGCCTAAAATTTAGGATATTCAAGCCTTGTTAGCCCTAAATGAACCTTAAAAGTTAGTAAATTGCTAATACTAATATCATGGTATGTTCAGGCCTACTTCACAGACGTCCATTTTTTGGTATACTTTTCTAAAAAATTATTTAATTCATCTGTTCAGGCCTTGTTGCATTTAATTACAAATAGAGTCAAGTATTCAATCAATAGTTACAAGACCAATTATACGACTTTTTGTCTTTTCCTAAATATGTTTGGCTTTATTTTAATAAGATGAGATTTTATTTACATTTTGCAATAAATTTTTAAACAAAATATGACTTTTTTAGTATACAATGCTGATCTTCTTTAGATTTTTTTTCATTATAATTATCTAACAAATTTTTAACTAAAATTCTTCTCTAAATTAATTATTTTCAATAATTTTAATGAAATTCTTCTTAAATTCAATTATATTACAACTATTTTGTAATTAAAAATATTATGAAATTTAATAATTGTTTAAAATTTAGATAAGAAAAATGAGGAAATAAAATTATCAAAAATTTTAAATTCAAAACCTAAAATTTTCCATCTAAAACTTTCTGATATGTAATAATTTCAACTATAACTCTTATAAAATTCAATTATTTTTATAATATTCATAAAAAAAGTCAATTATTTGAAAGTATTTTTCAATTAAAAACTGTTGAATGTCAATTTTTGTTTTAAATTATTTGATGCCTTAGTTTCAATTCTAAAAATTTAATAATTGTCTGAAATTAAAAAAAATCGTTTTAAATTCAGTAAATTCTAAAAATTTCAACTCCATTTTTTCGTAGATGCAGAAATGAAGCAAAAAATGTTAGAAATATAATATTATAAATATTTTAACGTTTAACTTCATCAAACAAAATTTTAATGATTTTTTTAATATTGTATGTCGTTAAATATTTTATTAACTGTTGTCGACATATCGATATATTTTGTTACAAGAATTTAATTTTTTAAATGTGTCTTATTTTTTATTGCTTTAAAATTTTTCACAATTATTAAATGAATTTCTTTTGTAAAAGAAAATATTAAATAAATTTCCAATTAATTTTTTTTGTAGATACAGAAATAAAGCAAAAAAAAGTTAGAAGGATAATATTAAATATTTTAACGTTTGACTTTATCAAGTAAAATTTTATTGTTTTTTTAAGTTATATTTCGTTAAATATTTCTTTTAACTGTTGTTGATATATCGAAACATTTTTTTTCAAGGATTTAGTTTTCTACACGTGTCTTATTTTTACTGCTTTAAAATTTTTGAAATTTATTAAATGTATGTCTTTGGGTAAAAAAATTATTGAAAAAAACTTGCAACTCACATTTTTTATATACAACAATAAATTTTTTCTAAAATATATCAACACTAATTCTTTTTTTACATTCTAATTTTTTTTTATAAATTAGAGGAGTAAATATTAAGCAATAAATTTTTTAACAGAAAATTTTGAAAAAGATCTATCAATTCGACAATTGAGAAAAATGACATTTTATCTTTTATACTTAAAAATTGGATAGTAATATTGTTTAGAAAAATTTCATTTCTTTTTTGAAAAGTATGTACCCAGACAGTACGTAAACCTGCAGCAACCTTGCGGCAAGCTTGCCACGCAATATTGCTAAGTGAACACGGCAAGCTTTCAGCAAGCTTCAAATGTCCCACATAATCCAAGCTTGCATGGTAAGTTTGCCGAAATATTGCAGTGTAAGGTTACTGCAAGATTGCATGTTAAGATTATCGCAGGCTTGCATACTAAGTTTGCACGGTAAGCTTGTGGCAAGGTTGCAAATAACCTTCCCCAATCAGCACAGAAGTTTGCATTGAAAATGCGCACTATGCGCACTTGCAGTCACGAGCACCTACGGCTACGCAGTAAATTTTTTTGACCTCCCAGGAACTGGTGCTCAATGTATGTACAAAAATAAATTTCCTGCTCCCAAAAAATTCTTTGTTATATTCCGCAAGATAGCACCAAGCTTGCCAAGCTAACTTTCATGGCAAGCTTGCAAGGTTGCCAAATAACCTTGCCAATCAGCACAGAAGGTTGCAGCAAACTTGCCGCAAGCTTGGTGCAATCTTGCGGAATATAACAAAGAATTTTTTAGGGGCAGAAAATTTATTTTTGTACATACATTGAGTACCAGTTCCTGGGAGGTCAAAAAAATGTACTGCGTAGCCGTAAGTGCTCGTGATTGCAAGTGCGCATAGTGCTCATTTTCAATGCAAACTTCTGTGCTGATTGGGGAAGGTTATTGGCAACCTTGTCACAAGCTTACCGTGCAAGCTTACTATTCAAGCTTGCGATAATCTTACTATGCAATCTTGCAGTAACCTTACACTGCAATCATTCGGTAAGCTTACCATGCAAGCTTGAGTTAGGTGGGACATTTGAAGCTTGCGGCAAGCTTACGTGCTATCTGGGTACGTTTAAAAATACATATGATAAAAAAATCACTTTCAAAATTTATGGAGTTTGAAGGAAGTTCTTATATAATATAAGATTAAAAAATCTTGTATTTTTTATAAAATAACTGTGAAACAATTATAGGTACATTTTAAGAAGTTTAATGAAAATAAAAAATTATTATACCTATAGAAATATTATACTCACCGTGAATGACCACTTGTAAAGCAAAAAAACTGCATCAAATTGTCTCCGATAGAGAAATGAAACATTGAAAACTAGATGGTCAGTTAAATATTTTAATATTTGACTTTATCAAGCAAAATTTTATTCATTTTTTTAAATATTGTATGTCATTAAATATTTATTTTTATTGTTGTCGACATATCGATATATTTTGTATCAAGGATTTAATTTTTTAAACGTGTCTTTTTTTTACTGCATTAAAATTTTTCACATTTATTAAATGTGCGATTCCAGCTGAGATTTTGAATAAATTTCGCGCGACAATCTAAAATTCAATCACTTAAATGCTAAAATAATCTAAATAGCTGTGTTTTCTTTAATGTTTCAAAGGAATCCAACTACAATTGCAAGTTAAACTTATTTAATTTTAATTATTTCTTTGTAAAATTATAAAAAATTATTGTGGAAGAGATTTATTCTTCTCATTTTCATTGATATTTTAAAAAAAGGTAGACCTCAATCTGATTAATAGAACGGAAGATATAGCAGTTTAAAATTTTTTGTTATTATTGCAAATCTCGTAAACTAACAAATATTTTAACCTGAAACTTACGTTAAAGATTAGTTTTACTATATATATAACAGAATTCCAAAGTTTCATTGCAATCGGTTAACCTACTCCGAAAAAGTCAAAATCTCAGCTGGAATCGCACATTTAATAAATGTGAAAAATTTTAATGCAGTAAAAAAAAAGACACGTTTAAAAAATTAAATCCTTGATACAAAATATATCGATATGTCGACAACAATAAAAATAAATATTTAATGACATACAATATTTAAAAAAATGAATAAAATTTTGCTTGATAAAGTCAAATATTAAAATATTTAACTGACCATCTAGTTTTCAATGCTTCATTTCTCTATCGGAGACAATTTGATGCAGTTTTTTTGCTTTACAAGTGGTCATTCACGGTGAGTATAATATTTCTATAGGTATAATAATTTTTTATTTTCATTAAACTTCTTAAAATGTACCTATAATTGTTTCACAGTTATTTTATAAAAAATACAAGATTTTTTAATCTTATATTATAACTTATATCGTCTCTTCCAAATGGATCTATTTGGAAACATTACAATTCCATCTGAAGGAAATTTTTACAATCTTATATTCGTTTTAATCACAGAAAAAGTATATTTGACTTAACTAAATAGTTTAATTTAGTCAAATGCAATAAATCATTAAGTTCATTCAAATAAAAGTATTCAATTGAATAATTTTGTCATGAATCGCAACCAAACTTTTTTTTAACTGTATAGCAATGCATTTATTTCTTTGTTTCAAACATATTTTTCTCTGTGAGCATTATTGTCGTACTAAACTTAAAAGATAAAAATTATACTAATTTTAAATTAATTCCACGCCAAATTATACGCCCATTTGCAATTGTATCTCAGATTTAAAAAAAAAAAAAAATTTTCCTTTAGTACTAATTGAGACTAGTTTTCCTAATTTTTTCAATTTTTTTTTTAAAAAGTCGTTCACGAGATATGAATTTTTCAAAAATTTAAAATTTTATAATGATTTTTTATTTTTCAATGCTCATAACTTCCTTCAAACTCCATAAATTTTGAAAGTGATTTTTTATCATATGTATTTTTAAACGTACCCAGATAGCACGTAAGCTTGCCGCAAGCTTCAAATGTCCCACCTAACTCAAGCTTGCATGGTAAGCTTACCGAATGATTGCAGTGTAAGGTTACTGCAAGATTGCATAGTAAGATTATCGCAAGCTTGAATAGTAAGCTTGCACGGTAAGCTTGTGACAAGGTTGCCAATAACCTTCCCCAATCAGCACAGAAGTTTGCATTGAAAATGAGCACTATGCGCACTTGCAATCACGAGCACTTACGGCTACGCAGTACATTTTTTTGACCTCCCAGGAACTGGTACTCAATGTATGTACAAAAATAAATTTTCTGCCCCTAAAAAATTCTTTGTTATATTCCGCAAGATTGCACCAAGCTTGCGGCAAGTTTGCTGCAACCTTCTGTGCTGATTGGCAAGGTTATTTGGCAACCTTGCAAGCTTGCCATGAAAGTTAGCTTGGCAAGCTTGGTGCTATCTTGCGGAATATAACAAAGAATTTTTTGGGAGCAGGAAATTTATTTTTGTACATACATTGAGCACCAGTTCCTGGGAGGTCAAAAAAATTTACTGCGTAGCCGTAGGTGCTCGTGACTGCAAGTGCGCATAGTGCGCATTTTCAATGCAAACTTCTGTGCTGATTGGGGAAGGTTATTTGCAACCTTGCCACAAGCTTACCGTGCAAACTTAGTATGCAAGCCTGCGATAATCTTAACATGCAATCTTGCAGTAACCTTACACTGTAATCTTTCGGCAAACTTACCATGCAAGCTTGGATTAGGTGGGACATTTGAAGCTTGCTGAAAGCTTGCCGTGTTCACTTAGCAATATTGCGTGGCAAGCTTGCCGCAAGGTTGCTGCAGGTTTACGTACTGTCTGGGTACATACTTTTCAAAAAAGAAATAAAATTTTTCTAAACAATATTACTATCCAATTTTTAAGTATAAAAGATAAAATGTCATTTTTCTCAATTGACGAATTGATAGATCTTTTTCAAAATTTTTTGTTAAAAAATTTATAGCTTAATATTTACTCCTCTAATTTATAAAAAAAAATTAGAATGTAAAAAAAGAATTAGTGTTGATATATTTTAGAAAAAATTTATTGTTGTATATAAAAAATGTGAGTTGCAAGTTTTTTTCAATATTTTTTTTACCCAAAGACATACATTTAATAAATTTGAAAAATTTTAAAGCAGTAAAAATAAGACACGTGTAGAAAACTAAATCCTTGAAAAAAAATGTTTCCATATATCAACAACAGTTAAAAGAAATATTTAACGAAATATAACATAAAAAAACAATAAAATTTTACTTGATAAAGTCAAACGTTAAAATATTTAATATTATCCTTCTAACTTTTTTTTGCTTTATTTCTGTATCTACAAAAAAAATTAGTTGGAAATTTATTTAATATTTTCTTTTACAAAAGAAATTCATTTAATAATTGTGAAAAATTTTAAAGCAATAAAAAATAAGACACATTTAAAAAATTAAATTCTTGTAACAAAATATATCGATATGTCGACAACAGTTAAAAAAATATTTAACGACATACAATATTAAAAAAATCATTAAAATTTTGTTTGATGAAGTTAAACGTTAAAATATTTATAATATTATATTTCTAACATTTTTTGCTTCATTTCTGCATCTACGAAAAAATGGAGTTGAAATTTTTAGAATTTACTGAATTTAAAACGATTTTTTTTAATTTCAGACAATTATTAAATTTTTAGAATTGAAACTAAGGCATCAAATAATTTAAAACAAAAATTGACTTTCAACAGTTTTTAATTAAAAAATACTTTCAAATAATTGACTTTTTTATGAATATTATAAAAATAATTGAATTTTATAAGAGTTATAGTTGAAATTATTACATATCAGAAAGTTTTAGATGGAAAATTTTAGGTTTTGAATTTAAAATTTTTGATAATTTTATTTCCTCATTTTTCTTATCTAAATTTTAAACAATTATTAAATTTCATAATATTTTTAATTACAAAATAGTTGTAATATAATTGAATTTAAGAAGAATTTCATTAAAATTATTGAAAATAATTAATTTAGAGAAGAATTTTAGTTAAAAATTTGTTAGATAATTATAATGAAAAAAAATCTAAAGAAGATCAGCATTGTATACTAAAAAAGTCATATTTTGTTTAAAAATTTATTGCAAAATGTAAATAAAATCTCATCTTATTAAAATAAAGCCAAACATATTTAGGAAAAGACAAAAAGTCGTATAATTGGTCTTGTAACTATTGATTGAATACTTGACTCTATTTGTAATTAAATGCAACAAGGCCTGAACCGATAAATTAAATAATTTTTTAGAAAAGTATACCGAAAAATGGACGTCTGTGAAGTAGGCCTGAACATATCATGATATTAGTATTAGCAATTTACTAACTTTTAAGGTTCATTTAGGGCTAACAAGGCTTGAATATCCTAAATTTAAGGCTTTTAATTTATTTCTTAAATAAAGGTTCCTGCCAGCTTCACATTGAAGCTGGCCAGAACCACGCATACCTTCTTTATCACTATTCCTACTAAGCTCTAACTACAAGGAAAATTTAGGGCTCATTAAGGACTATCAAAATATTCCTTAACCTAATTAAAACATTTTCATTTTTTTTTAAATGTTCACATTTACACTTGTTCACGCTTGACTTTATTATTTTTTTAAAATGAGTTTCCGAGTAGTAGCAACGTAGGTCCATCAAACCAGCACCTCCACAATTACAATTTAGAAAACAGACTACACTAGATTTTTGGGCTTTTTAGGACTCCAAAAAAAAATATTCCTGATTTTTAAAAATCACCTCTTCAACAAAAACAACCCCTTTTAATATCAGCAACTTACATTTTCCTATTTTTCGAATTAATAAATTCATCGGATTCGCTTGAAACTCGTTACTCGGGGGTTTTTGGGGTCGCTGATTACGAATTTGATGTCAGATTTATATAATTCAAAATGGCGGATCCAATATGGCGGACGAATTTTTAAAAAGTAGTTGGATTTTTACGAAAATTGGTATCTAGGGGTTTTGGGAGTCGCTGATTACAAATTTATCGTCAGATTCTTCAAATTCAAAATGGCGGATCCAATATAGCGGACAAATTTTCAAAAAGTAGTTGGATTTTTACAAAAATTGGTATCATGTTTTTTTTTGGAGTCGCTGATTACGAATTTAACGTCAGATTACACTGGGTTACAAAAAAATGGTCAAGTCGTGTTTATTTAAAATTTTCTGTGTTTATGGAAATTTTAGGTGTCACTGAACAAGAATATACGCAAAAAAAAATTTTTTATTCCGTCAGTTCCGTAAAAAACGAGATTAAAGTGTCAAAAAATCGCTTTTTTAGCACTTTTTGAAGCGTTGTAAAACAAAAACGCAACAAGATAAAAATCTTCACGAGGGCTTGAATGAAAGCTTAAACCTTCAACTTTGAATTTCAAAACTGAAAAGTGCATGATAATTGCGCAGAAAATTTATTTAACATGAAATAACTATTTTAAATAGTCAAAATAGTTGGGATAGAGAGCACTTGTTAAAAATCGATTTTCATTACCGAATTTATTTGGAACTTGTTACTTGGAAGTTTTCAACGTTTCTATTGACGTTTCGAAAGTTGGATTTAAAAAATTCAAAATGGCTTTCAAATATTTCAAAAAACCCCGAGGAAAAAACTGCGAAAAAATTCACTCCATTTTTGAAATTTTTGAACCCCATTTTTAATCCGCCATTTTGAATTTTTTAAATCCAACTTTCGAAACGTCAATAGAAACGTTAAAAACTTCCAAGTAACAAGTTCCAAATAAATTCGGTTATGAAAATCGATTTTTAACAAGTGCTCTCTATCCCAGCTATTTTGATTATTTGCGATATTCATTTCATGTTATATAAATTTTGTGCGCAATTATCATCCACTTTTCAGCTTTGGGACTCAAAGTTGAAGGTTTAAGCTTTCATTCCAGCCCTCGTGAAGATTTTTATCTTGTTGCGTTTTCATTTTACAACGCTTCAAAAAGTGCTAAAAAGGCGATTTTTTGACACTTTAATCTCGTTTTCTATGGAACTGACCGAATGAAAATTTTTTTTTGGGTATATTCTTGTTCAGTGACACCTAAACTTTCAATAAACACAACAAATTTTAAATAAACACGACTTGACCATTTTTTTGTAACCCAGTGTTATTCAAATGTAAAATGGCAGATATAGTACGGTGGTCAAATATCTTTATGTTTCTACATGTGTCTGCATCCAGGGCAACTTCACGCGGTGACGGTGGGCAACGGAGGTTGTCCGCTATCCGGC